TGGAGCCATCAAGGCGTCGTGGGGAGATGATATTCTGGACATTTTGACACACACCATAGAGACGTTGAGCATCATTGGTGTATAACACTCGGACTTGTTCCCATACATCAACACATGTCTCATGGGCACGAAAAATTTGCTTTAGGGAGGGATGAATGGTCGACTTAAGGACACTACAAATTTGAGCGTCAATTTTCAACCAACGAGGATGATCCTTCTCATCAACGGAAGCAGCTGTCTGGGTAAGATGAGCAACATAATCCTGTCCCTTAAGCAAAAGCTTGATATCTGAAGCCCAAGTATCATAATAGGTGCCATCTAACTTGTCAATGGAAAGAGCGACATTGACATAATTAGTGAAAATAGTAGAGTCAGGCCGATCAGCGGAAGAGGAAGCCATAGATGCTGTAATAGGAGAGAGAAACAGCAACAGGAGAGAGAAAAATGGCCCGAGAAGGAAGAGATCTGTGACAAACGATGGTCGATCACAAAAAAAATAATAGATCGGGGTAGAGGAGGTCTGGGCGAGTCTGCACCGGTGATCGTCGCCGGAAAAGTCGCCGGACGCGCAGCCACGCGCGGCGGCCGACGGAGAGGAGAGAGAAACTGTGCCTAGCACGGAATCGGCGCGTGCGGCCTCCGTTTGCCGCACGACTGGTGGCATTGGGTTCGCCGGAGGAAGGCGAGTTGGGTGGGGGGGTCGCCGGCCGGAAAGGTGGTGGCAGCGAAGAAGAAACCCTAAAAAATAGGAAAAAAATTGCCGGAAAGAGACACGACAGGGTGGGGATCCGGAAAACGGAATGAGACACGTTTTCCGGGCACCAATGAATAGTGGGTCCACCGGGAGGTCAAGGATTAGGCTCTAGATACCATGTTGAGAGTAATGGTGAATGGAGAGAACATATTCCTTGTGTATTGTAAAGCAAAAGATGTGTTTAAATACAAAGTAGTGGGCCTAGGCCCAAACAATCTCTTATGCAGTCTTTTGGTTTTGTCACTTATGCATTCCAACGTGTACTCCTCTGAGTTTATTGTAGCAGAAAAGTGGCTGACATTGTTAGGCTTTGTAGGAGTGCCTCAAGTTCTTAAAGGATGTCCATTTTGGTGGATCACAAAACCTTTCTGGCAAATCTTTTCATCAGAGTCTGGTGTTGTTCTGAGCCTCTATGCTGAGACGACTTCCACCTTCTTTATGGTTCTACTTTAATATTTGGTTTCTCTGCCTGTTGATCTCATTTGATTTTCATCTAACTTTTTCTGATTACAGGTTCTTAAATCTCACACCAACTCGGTTGCCTCTGGACAACTTTCTCTGCAATTGGAGAGGCTGCATATATCTATTAAAGATTACTCTCTGGTTTTTACTCTTCACTTTCTCAGTTTCCTATGTTTATTCTATCGCTCGTGCTCATATCATTTTATATTTGCACTTAATTTTGTTGCTACAATTGCAGTTACAAAGTACAGAAAGAACCTCGTCAAGGCTATCTTCTAATCCTAGTTATGTTGGTCCTTCCCGTGGATCTATTTCTACTAGTATATTTCTATCACTTGTGTTTCTATAGTTACATAGCCTGTTGCTTAGCATAAAGACATAAATTTATGCTTTCTATTTCTGAAAATATGTTGTGATCCTTTGATATGTGCATCTGGTGCAGGGTTAGGATCTGCCTTGAACCCTAAAACTTTGGTTGCTGCTACGTATTTTGAATTTATTTATTTTACACCATGTTTAAAAATTTGGATTAATTAATTATTTTTTAAGTAACATTTTTTTTAATTTTAACCTTATTTATTTAACAAATTCTCTATAAATTTTAAATATTGAACTTTCACCAAATTTATTACGATATTTTTAAATAAAAAAATTGTTATATGTCAGTTAAAAAAATATGTCAGTTACAAAAACAAAATCACTAGAATAATTGCAAAACATTTAAAAAAACTAGAGGAATTTCTTGTATCTCTCATAGTTATATACAGACATAATATTATAAAGTTGTGTATAGTTCTTCAAGGAGAATATAGGATTTTGTTACATCTGAGGGGTATAATGGTCCACTAAAATGTGAAGACCACGCTACTAGAATTTCTCTTATTACATGCGATGTTTCCTGCGAATTTTTATGAAAAATTTGCAGGAAACAATTTTTTTTGCGACATTTTATCTGTAAGTAATACCTTCGTAGATAATATATTATTGTGAATTTTAAAATTCGAAAGAAATTTTCCTGTAAAATGTCTTGCAAAAAAAAATCACAGGAAAGTTTCCTATCATTTAGTAAACATTACTTGCGAATTTATTTTTGCAAGAAAATCTACAAGAAATAAATAAAATTCTTACAATATTTTTTGCAAATTTTTACCATGGAAAAATTTTTCTATGATCATTAAAATTGTAGCAAAATTTGCAAAAATTTCTTGTAAATTGTTTTTAGTAAAAAAATTTGTAAGAAATATCTGTAAATTATTTTTTACAAATAAATTTGTTAAAAAATGTTGCGAAATTATTATTGCAAGAAAATCGTAAAAAAAATTTGCGAATATTTTTTTGTAGGAAAATTCACAGGAAAATGACATTTGTCTAGTAGTGCCCAAAGCAGTTACATACTCCTGTATCCCCTTTTCTTTTCCACTTTTGATCAAAATCCATATTAACTAATGCCTAGATTTTATTATGCTAATGTATTCTGCATGTTTATTAAGATGCTAGTTTCTGTGTGGATAGATTCAATTGCCAGAGTAGATAGATGATTTGGAGGTGTTTATTCTAAAGGGTTATGGTAATTCACTAAATTATAGAATGGGGTTGTATTGCTAGCGGCAATATGCCATGTGATATGTTACTGACGCCACATGCATGATAAAATGTAGTCCGTGTCCATACATGTGCATTTTAATGTTATATGAAAAATTGATATCTTGCATTTTAATGTTATTTAAAAATATCGTAATAAATTTGGTGAAAGTTCAATATTTAAAATTTATAGAGAATTTGTTAAATAAATAAGGTTAAAATTAAAAAAAATGTTACTTAAAAAATAATTAATTAATCCAAATTTTTAAACATGGTGTAAAATAAATAAATTCAAAATACGGTTAATTTTTTATTTATCACACATATCTTTAAATTAAAATTTAATATTTTTTATAACAAATTTAACAAAAATATTTTAGGATTTGTTTTATCTTCTTATCCAATATAATTTTGTTTATTATCTAAAATATCAATAATTCAAAATAATTGTAAAGTTGTTGGTTTATATATGGTCATTCATTAGGTCTTTATTCATCATTCAATTATGTGTTCTGACTCTTAGTATTTGAACATAGACAATTCCTCCATCAATTATATACAGAGACATTAGTTGATAATTTATATAATATTCATTATCTGCTTCATAATGATCAAGCAACATCCTTCTGCTTTCACTTTGACTGTCCATTTTTGAAGGAATTTGATGTGAATTAGTTGAACAAGTTTGTTGGTTATTATCAATAACTATTGGAAGTCCTAATGGAAAGTGCGAACTTCAATTTAGGATATTTATCCACTATCATCCTAGTTAAGCTATTGAAAGTGACTATTAATGAATCCATCCCACTAGCTTGTTCCACATCCTTATCAATCCTACTTTCAACAACTTTTATGGGTGATGACGCATTCGAGATATTATAATATTTTTCTCTGTCATTTTTTGGCTGAGATATTTGATGAGCACTTGTACTGTAATTATAAAAAAAAATATTAGAGAATTTAATTAAAAATAAAATAAAATAAACAAATTAAATAATGGGTTTTAAATGAAAAAACCTAGAAGAAATATAAATGATTTCTTGAAACCGTTTTGTTATTTTCTTCATCTCTTTTTGAGCAGTTGGTTGTATCCTAGTAGATTTGTTTGTTGACCGATTACCTTTATTTCTTCTTGCCATTCTTTTGAGAGACATTTTTGGAAAGAGATTTGATGACAAAATGTGTTTTATCTAGAAACTTAAGATAGTCCTAATTAGAGTCAGAACTAGGGATGGCAAAAATACCCGCACCCGCATATATCTGCGGGTAAAATCCGCTACGGATAATAAATGGATAAGCTAATTGGATACCCGCGGATAATGGGGACGGATAATTTTTTACCCGTTTATAAACAGGGCGGGGCGGGTATGATGATATTCATACCCGTGGGTACCCATTTAATAATATTTCTTAAATATCCTAATTATCCTTGTACCACATAACCCTAAAACTATATTCTCTCATCTTATTTTCTTACAAAAGTGAGGTTGATGAAGTTATCAACATGTGTTAAGCATATTATAGAATTATGTTGGAAGTAATTTGATTAATTTTCTAGCTTTGATTGGACTAATAAGATTTATGTAATTTAAGTCCTTTACTTTCGTTTGAAATTATGAGATTAAATTATTGTAGCTTTGTGATATGAGACTTTCACTTACTTTTGAGATTGATGTATTTTAAGTTATTAATTATCTTGCATTTTTATTATTATTTCAACAAAATTAACGTTAAATACAAGTTCAAAATTAACATTGATTTTTTTTAATATTTCAATGATATTAAATATAAACTTAAAAATTATTTGTAATATAATTTTTTTAATTTCTTAAAAAATTTATAAATATCCATGGATATTCATGGATATCCGTGAGTATTCAAGAAATTCATGGATACCCGCTTAATGGATACCCGCATGGATATGGGCAGGTATGGGGCCAATTTTCATCTAGCGGGGCGAGAACGGGTTTACTATTACCCGCCTCCATGGGGCCCCATTGTCATCCCTAGTCAGAACGCATAATTGAATGATGAATAAAGAGCTAATGAATGACTATATATAAATCAACAACTTTACAATTATTTTGAATTATTGATATTTTAGATAATAAACAAAATTATATTTGATAAGAAGATAAAACAATTCCTAAAATATTTATTTTAAATTTGTTATAAAATATTAAATTTTAATTTAAAGATATATGTGATAAATAAAAAATTAATTGTATTTTAAATTTCTTTATTTTACACCATGTGTAAAAATTTGGATTAATTAATTATTTTTTAAGTAACATTTGTTTTTTAATTTTAACATTTTTTATTTAACAAATTATCTATAAATTTTAAATATTTAAGCTTTAACCAAATTTATTATGATATTTTTAAATAAAAAAATTGTTATATGTCAGTTAAAAAAATAAAATTACTAGAATAATAATGAATTTTTTAATTCCTTTTTTATAGAAGATAATTCTAATATAAAAAATCCAATAAACCCTAAAACTTAAATTTCTAAACCATTAATTTTAAATGTTTTTTTTAATTTATCAAATTATATAAAAAAATTTAGATTTGAAATAATATAGTTAAAAATTACCATAATAATTATAATATTCATAAAACCTTTTTTTAGTTATCAAATTATTTATAATTTTAAAATTAAATCTTTTACATTTTCTTGTTACTAAAAAAATATCACTAGATGAATAAAAAATTTATAATTCATTTTTATCAGAAGATAGTTCTAATATATAAAAAAAATCTACTAAACCTTAACTCTATTAACTTATTTATTTATTTATTAAATTCTCTTAAAATTTAAATTTGAAATGTTTCAATTACAAAAAAAATTGACCAAAATAATTATGATATTTTAAAATAAAAATTTGTTATATGTCAGTTACAAAAACAAAATCACTAGAATAATTGCAAAACATTTAAAAAAACTAGAGGAATTTCTTGTATCTCTCATAGTTATATACAGACATAATATTATAAAGTTGTGTATAGTTCTTCAAGGAGAATATAGGATTTTGTTACATCTGAGGGGTATAATGGTCCACTAAAATGTGAAGACCACGCTACTAGAATTTCTCTTATTACATGCGATGTTTCCTGCGAATTTTTATGAAAAATTTGCAGGAAACAATTTTTTTTGCGACATTTTATCTGTAAGTAATACCTTCGTAGATAATATATTATTGTGAATTTTAAAATTCGAAAGAAATTTTCCTGTAAAATGTCTTGCAAAAAAAAATCACAGGAAAGTTTCCTATCATTTAGTAAACATTACTTGCGAATTTATTTTTGCAAGAAAATCTACAAGAAATAAATAAAATTCTTACAAGATTTTTTTCAAATTGTTACCATTTAAAAATTGTTCTATTATCATTAAAATTTTATCAAAATTTGCAAAAATTTCTTGTAAATTGTTTTTAGTAAAAAAATTTGTAAGAAATATCTGTAAATTATTTTTTACAAATAAATTTGTTAAAAAATGTTGCGAAATTATTATTGCAAGAAAATCGTAAAAAAAATTTGCGAATATTTTTTTGTAGGAAAATTCACAGGAAAATGACATTTGTCTAGTAGTGCCCAAAGCAGTTACATACTCCTGTATCCCCTTTTCTTTTCCACTTTTGATCAAAATCCATATTAACTAATGCCTAGATTTTATTATGCTAATGTATTCTGCATGTTTATTAAGATGCTAGTTTCTGTGTGGATAGATTCAATTGCCAGAGTAGATAGATGATTTGGAGGTGTTTATTCTAAAGGGTTATGGTAATTCACTAAATTATAGAATGGGGTTGTATTGCTAGCGGCAATATGCCATGTGATATGTTACTGACGCCACATGCATGATAAAATGTAGTCCGTGTCCATACATGTGCATTTTAATGTT